TTTTCCATTGATTTTCAGAGTGGAAGGGAGGGAGGAGGGGAGGAGAGCGAGACACACACATTGGTTGGTTGCCTCCCACATGCACCCCAGTGGGGCTGGAGATCAAACCCAGAACCGAGGTACGTGCCCCTGACCGGGAATCAAACCCACCCCCTTGGGTCCACGGGCCGATACCTAACCACTGAGCCAAACCAGTCAGGGCCAACATGGTTTTAGTGAATAAACTTTGTTTTCGAGAGCAGTTTTAGGTTCGCAGCAAAGCTGAGCAGAAAGTACAGGTTTCCCGTGTACCCCTTGGCCCCGCCACACACTTACACACGGCGTTCCCCACCGTCCACATCTCCATAGGGCGGTGCGTGTGTTACAACCGGGACCTGTCTTGACACATCAAAGTCCATAGTTCACAGTAAGGTTCCTGCTGTACGTTCTATGGGTTTTGACAAATGTATAACGACCTGTGTCCACCACTGTAATATCTTACAAAATAGATTTTTTTCATTTTTAAGGCTTTGTCTAAATATACTTTTCCCCCCTAAAATTGATTATATATCCTTTTTTGACTTAATACTTACATCATCAGCATTTTTCCATGTTGTCGCAAATTCTCCATCCTGGGATTTATTATTATTATTATTGATTTCAGAGAGGAAGGGAGAGGGAAGGAGAAATAGAAAAATCAGACGATGAGAGAGAATCATTGGTGGGCTGCCTCCTGCACGCCCTCTACAGACGGTCCCCGGGTTACGTCAGACTCAACATATGTCGTTTCATGGTTACGTCACCATGTCCTATTTATTTATATTTAAAAAAAAAGTTCTGTCATTTCGACGTATGTACATATGTGCTTGATGCTTTTTATTATTCATTTACCACAAGTAAAGGTCAGGAACTGTTATCTTTCTTTTAAATTTTGTTTACTGTTTCCCTTCATTACTGCTGTGTGTGTGCTCCATGTGAGTGACGTAGGTGCTCGTGTAGGTGGGTTTCGAATTACGGCGAAAATCGAGTTATGTCGTAGGAACGGATCTCCCACGTAACCTGAGGACCTACTATACTGGATATCGAGCCCGAAACCTGGGCAAGTGCCCTGACAGGAAATTGAACCTTGACCTCCTGGTTCATGTGGTGACAACCGCTGAGCCACAGGGGCTGGGCTGGCCCCGGATTTCTCAGCGCTGTGTGCTGCTGCCCCTCCTGCCTTCCTATGTGGCCGCTTAGGTTGCTATCAATTTTTCTCAAGTACAGTGGGGCCTTGACTTAGGAGTTTAATTCGTTCCGAGACCGAGCTCGTTAAGGAGCTCGTTAACTCAAATTACTCTGCCAACTCAATGCAAAGAATCGGCGGAGAGACAGCTGGTATCTCAAAAAACTCGTTAGTCGGGACACTCGTAAGTCAAGGCCCCACTGTACATTGTGCATTGTTTAAGTTGGGAGCTGTGAGTCATGGTTGGGTTGGGATTGGAGCTGGCAGAGCTGCCTGATTGGGGAGTTGGGGGGCCCTCTCCAGGCCTGGGTTCTGGCATCTTGCTAACCCTGACTGTGGGTGCTGGCCCTGCCTGCTTCCCCCTGCGGGGGGGGCGGGGGGGGCGCTTGGTGGAGCTGGGAAGCCTGCCATTTGGGTTCAGAATGCTCTCATTTCACAAGTTCCTCTGGGAAAATGCCTGCGTTGTGCCTCACGGGGAAGCTCGGGAAGCTCTGCTGAGCGGGGAGGGGCCGAGGGGGCTGCTGCCGGACACGGACACGGGAGCAGAGGCTCGGCCGGCCCGGCCCACTCGGCAGGAGCGTGCTGGTGTGATCACACCCAGACAAGTCGAACTAGAAACATGCTGTTTCTGACCCGCAGGAGAAAGACATTGGGATTTGATGAGCACCTACTATGTGCTGGCCATCATGCCAAGGGCCACACACCTCGTGTAACTCTTCCAGCAGCCCCACCTGCAGGCCACGGTCATTATTCCTGTTCTACAAAGATGCTATTCCAAGACCAGTGCTCACACCTGCCCCCTGAGCGTGGGCTGAAGAGATGCTCCTTGAGGGTCTCGCTGCCTCCAGGCTGATATGAACAGCGCGAGCAACTTACAGGAATGAGCACATTCGCCCTTTTCGTCCCTGTCAGCCAGCGGCCCCACGGGAGGCGCAGAAATGCTCTCAGAGCCAACAGCATGTCCACGTGGATGTGCCATCCACCCATCCCCCCTTCCCCGCCCTTCACACACACACAGCTCTGTGATCTCCCCGGGGAGGGGGGGTGTCCAGCAGGAGAGAGGCTCAGGATTGCCCTCGTTCTAATAAGCAGGCTGTTTGGGACACACGGCTCTGCCTGCCTCTGCCTGGAGCCAACGAGCAAATGGAACTTTCTTCATGTTCTAGAGCAGGAAACCCTCAGGCCATGGGTGGGGAGGGAGGGCCAGAGAGCCATGCAAGTCCGTCCCTGGTGGCTATCGCCGGCATCTCGCTTCCTCTCTCAGCACTGAGAGAGCCAGCAGTGGGCGCCAAGCATTCTCGGCTGCCTAGAGTCTCTAGAAGCTTCCTTCCCACCTGTCAGTTAGCCAAGTCCCGGGAGCCGCAGAGTGGGGAGAGAGCACTGCACACTGAAGAGCCGTCAGAACTGGAGCCGGGCAGGTACCCGAGGACCTGGGAGGGTGTCCGGTCCGAGACCACCCCCAGGTCCGATGCCTCACCAGGGAGACTCCCGGCACCGGCACCAGCATCGGCAAGCTCACAGCTGTGACTTAATTCAGTGAAAGGACCAGAAGCAGAATCAGCAAAGGAAAAGGCGTGGGGGGTGGGGGAGTGAAGCTGAAACAGGCTCCAGCTTCTCAGGGCGCTCTCAGCAGAGGCTCCCGGCACACACTCGGCCCCAGTGCACACTCGGCCCCCGGTGCACACTTGCGCACACTCAGGCCCGGGCGCACACTTGGCCCCTGGCGCACACTCGGGCCCCACCCTGAGCTGGGACAACACCCGTGAGGTGTCCAAGGGGAAGCTCATCGGAGATTCGGCATCAGGGTTTTTGTCAGCTGCTCGGCAAGTCCCCAGTTCCCGTCTTGGAGCTGATCAGCCTGCGCCAGACTGTGAGAGACCAGGCCCGAGAGCCGCTCTGCTCCGTCCCAGGAATGGTGGGGGCCCTCCCGAACCCACAGTCCCCGGAGCCAGCCCAGGGCCACGGCGCCAGCAGGCCTTTCGGGAGAGCAGCCTCGGGCCGTGTTGCGGTGGGGGAGGCCTGAGCTCTGCTACGCGGGGACCTTCGGTGGCACTGCGGGGCTCATGGGGTGTCGTCCGTGTGGCCCTCACTTCCCAGAGCCTGGCTCGGCAGTGGGCACCCTCATAAGGACGTCTGTACGGTTCTCCTGGCTGCACAGGCGTGTGGCCCGTCTTCACTGGTCCCTCAGGCCTGGGCCGTGTTACACAGCAGTGTGCGCACTCTGGCCCGGCCACAGACGTGTCCTATCTGTGTGCACTTCGTAGCGCTCCTGAGGATAACTGTATGCACGGAGTCACGACAGGCTCGGTGCGACTCAGTCAGGAACTGAACATCGTAGAACAGGCTACAGGGTCACTCCCCTCCCCTGTCCAGCAAGTTCCTGCATCATCTGGAGGTGTCCTGAGCCGGTCTACCTGGCTGCCGACTACACGGTTCAATGCGCTGCCACAGGCCTGGCCCCTGAGGGACTGGCTGGGGAGATGGTGGTAAATTATTCATGGAGCCATCGGCCCACACAATAGACACATCGAGGACCCCGACCTGACAGATATGGACACACTGACATCCATGCCACCAGCAGCCACCCAGCTTCCAGCTCTCACTGTGCACCTCTGTGGACCCAGCGCTGTACTTTCTACTCATCCTCACATTAAATCCCCATGGCAACGCCTTCCAGAGGGAAAGGGTGTCCCAGATGAGGAACCCGAGGCACAGAGAGGTTGAGTAACTTACTCAAGATCACCCAGCAGAGAAGTGGCTCCCGGGGGCTGTGTGAGCTCTACCCAAGGCCTGGGCAGCCCTGCTGCATGCTCCTGTTTGACCCTCACAACAGCCCGGAGATATCGGTGTCATCACTCCCAGTGTGCAGATGAGGAGACCGAGATCCAGCAGGTTTAAATGATCAGCCAGTCAAGATGCTGGCACTCACGCCCAGGTCTATGCAAACTGAACCTACGGCTTTTCCACAATATCCTCTGCTGGCTATGGAGACACTAGTGGGCCCACCCTGGGTAACGGGGGCGGAGGGGAGCTATAAACATCTCAGGGATGGAACCCGCTCAGGGAGTGCAGGGCCGGGACCTCCAACTTTGGTTCACATCAGACTCACCCCGTCCCCATCTCAAACCCACAGCATCAGAACTGATGGGGATGGGGACCTCATGGGCACAAAGTGGCACCTCATTGCGCTGCTGACTAATGATGTTGAGCATCGTGTCATGAGCTTACTGGGCACTTGAGTTTTCTCTGTCATCTGTTCGAGTCTTTTGCTCATTTTTAAAGTGGGCCGTCTGCCTTCCCATTGACGTGTTAGAGTTCTTCATCGACTGTGGATGCCGGTCCTTTGCAGCAGATGCGTGGCAGATGTGTGGCCTCAGCGTGCGCCTGTCTTTCCTTGCTGTCAAGGTGGCCTTTGAAGAACAGAACTCGTCGATTTCAATGAAATGCAAATGAGTGCTTTGTTCTCCTTTGCTGGCTGGAGTTTTCTGTGTCTGGTGTCTCGGCCCACCCCGAGGACAGAGCTTTTTCTCTAACGTGAGGGATGTGCGTTTCAAACACTTGCCCAGGTGGTTCTGCTGGCATCGAAGTTGGAGAGGCCCAGGTATCATGGTCGCTCTAGGTTTGGAGGCAGATCTGAGTCTGATTCCCAGGTTTCCCACTTACTAAGCAAGTCACATTGTCTCTCAGAGCCTCAGTTTCTCTATCTGCAAAATGAGGTAAAAAATAGGGCCCATCTGCCCGGCCGGTGTGGCTCAGTGATTGAGTGTCGACCCATGAACCCGGAGGTCACTGGTTTCATTCCTGGTCAGGGCACATGCCCAGGTTGCCCGATCCCCGGGAAGGGGTGTGCAGGAGGCAGCTGATCAATGATTCTCTCTCCTCAGTGATGTTTCTATCTCTCTTTCCCTTTCCCTTCCTCCGCCCTAGCCGGCTTGGCTCAGTGGATAGAGTGTCAGCCTGCAGACCAGTGGGTCCTGGGTTCGATTCCAGTCAAGGGCACATACCTGGTTTGCAGGCTTCTCCCCAGCCCAGGACCCTAATTGGGGCGCGTGCAGGAGAAACAATTGATGCATTTCTCTCACATCGATGTTTCTGTCTTTCCCTCTCTCTAAAAATCAATGGGAAAGCATCCTTGGATGAGAATTAACAAAACAAACAAACGAAAAGTAGGACCCATCCACAGACTTTGTCAGAAGGTTCCGTGATTAAGGCTCAGGCAGAACCTAGCACCGTCCTGGCCTGAGACCCGTTCTGCAGCAGCTGTTGGTCTCATCGCAGCTGCTCCAGGCTGCCGGAGGGAGCAGGGGGAGTAACGGTGTGTTGTTTGCTTTCAGTACATCAAGGCCTTTTACAATGAGACGTGGGAGAGGAGGCACGGATACCCGATCGACCCCGACACCCTGACGCTGCTCTGGTCGGTCACCGTGTCCATATTCGCCATCGGTGGACTCGTGGGGACGTTCATGGTGAAGCCGATGGGAAAGTTTTGTGGGAGGTCAGTGGGGGCTGTCTGTGTTGGGGGATCCCCTCCATCATGCTCATAATATATCTGTGTCCCGTCAGGACCCCGCAGACAACGAAATGCCACATAGTTCAGCTGGAGAGGCTTGAATGTCGGAAGGGCAAGGGGTGGAAATAGGGTCCCAGAGGCCACGGGGCAGGGAAGCCGCGGACAACGGGCTGCCCAGCAGGAGCTGAGGTTGGGGAGGTCAAAACTCTACTGTCCGAACAGGGAGGGAGCCGGGACGAAACACCCTGGCCTCTCTCTCCTCCAACCCGCCTCTCCCCCGGAATCTGCTGCCGGCGCCACCCATTGGTAGTCAAAACTCTACTGTCCGAACAGGGAGGGAGCCGGGAAGAAACACGCTGGCCTCTCTCTCCTCCAACCCGCCTCTCCCCCGAATCTGCTGTCGGCGCCGCCCATTGGTCTAACCCAGTGGTCGGCAAACTGCGGCTCGAAAGCCACATGCGGCTCTTTGGCCCCTTGAGTGTGGCTCTTCCACAAAATACCGACTTCTGCGCATGGGCCACGAAGTTTCAATCGCACTGTACGTGCCCACACGTGGTATTTTGTGGAAGAGCCACACTCAAGGGGCCAAAGAGCCGCATGTGGCTTGTGAGCCGCAGTTTGCCGACCACTGGTCTAACCCAAGTGGAAGCCAGAAGAACCAGGAGCGCTCTGAGTTAGATCCAGAGGACCAGGCCCCGGGACGCGGAGCCGGCGGAGCCACGGCACAGCACGGTGTCTGCGGGATCGCTCCCTGTGCGCACAGAGCTCTGCTTGGTAAAACACCAGGAGCGCTCTGAGTTAGATCCAGAGGACCAGGCCCCGGGACGCGGAGCCGGCGGAGCCACGGCACAGCACGGTGTCTGCGGATCGCTCCCTGTGCGCACAGAGCTCTGCTTGGTAAAACATCCGGCGCTCAGGCAGTCTTCCGTAAGAAACCCTGAACCCGAGCAGATGGCACAGGAAAAGGGTCGCTGGGGTTGGGCCCGGGATGCCGTGGGCCAGCAAGTCCTGCCTCCCGAACTGGGCAGGTGTGTGGTGTGGGGCTTGCACCTCCCTCTCGGCCATCGCTCTCCCCGCGTGTACGGCGAAGGCGTTGATGGTGGCCTCAGCAGCGTGGCAGCCGCAGAAGCGAAAGGAAAGCCAAAGAGGAAACGCATTTGGGAGACACTAAACTTCTAAGTGACGAATCCTCGGAGGCGGAGAGATTAGGTCAAAGGTGTGGGTTGTCGTGCTCGGGCAGCTGCCGACTCCTGTTTGCATCATGACAGAGTGAAAGCCGAATTGGGGTGAAGGCTCTGCTGGAATCGTCACTCCGGGGGGAGGAGAAGCAGCAGGCACTGAAGACAGTTACTGTCTATCCCCCTCCTGCTACGTGCCGAGCTCGACCGACAATGCTTCCTACACGTGACGCATGGAGGCCCGCGAGGCCCAGCAGGCGGCCCAGGTTCCGAAGAATGCACTTGACCTGAAATTCAGATCCGGGTCTGTGTGGCCACCAGCCCGCTCTTGCTGTCACATGGTGTCGATGGCCATGCTGCTTGAGGCCTCATTATTCATCCCCCGTGAGGGCCCTTGGGGAGGATGAGGAGGCTGAGCTCGGTGTGCAGGGCTGGGGTCAGGGCCAGCGGGAGGGGCTGGGAGAGAAGTTCAGATGGAGCTGGGCATCCTGGGAGTCTGGGGCGTGGTCACCGGCAGGTCCACCGTGGGGCCCATCCCGGCCAGGGCACGTTAAACTCGTCTGTGATTTGGGAGAGGGGTGAGGACAGGGAGGGTGTGAGCCGCCCCAATATCTGGTCTCAGAGGTGCAGGCTCCTTGTCTGCTGGACCTTCGGGCTTGGAGAAGTCTGTCCATAGAGAATAGTTTCTAAGTCCCAGTCCCTGTCCTCGGCTGGCATGGCTCTAGTGACAGACCCCTTGCTCCCTCATGAGACAGGACTATGCCCTGTTGGTTCCCAGGCACTGGCTGCAGGCCCAGCTCCGCGCCTGGACTCTGATACCCACGGCTTGTGGGGCCCGGGACACGTGCCTCAAAGTCTCCGTGCTTCACGAAGTTCACGGCCTCTCTGGAGGCCCTGGTGTTATCTGCTTTTTGTGTATCTTCTCTGAGGCTTGTGCCCATCTCTACACCAAAGCTCTACCCCCCCACACACCCCTTTTCACACAGATAATCTCACAGTCTCCACAGTGCTGTACCTTGCTCATTGCACTTCAGGGCGTGACTTGGAGATCTTTCCATATGAGACTAGAGGGTTGTCTCTGACTCAGTGTCTGCAGTGTGCACTTGGCAGATGCATCATCACTTCCTTCCGTAGTTCCTCGTTAACGGACACTGGGTCGTTTCCATCATTTGCTATCAGAGACGATGTGGCAGTGAGCAGCCTTTGAATCATCACTGAGTTGCATACGTCAGTAAGTCGGGGATTCTCCAAGAAGATGTAGGAAGGGGAGGGGGGAATTAGGGCAAGTTTGAGATAAGTCAGAACCGGTGAAAAGAGCTCTGGCTCCAAAGAGCAGTAACTCGGCCCCCTTGCAAGTCCCCAGCTTTTTACAACCGATAACACAGTTGACCACCTGTTAACTCGCTGGGTCTTTAGGGGACAGCATCCTGCGAGAGGTTAAGGTGTTTGCCCAGCTCCTTGACGCACCAGCTGTCGGACCTCAAGCAAGTTTCTCATCTGTCCTGGTTAACTTCTCTATGAAACAGGAATAGGACCTTGGCCCACCTGAGAGGGTCGTTTTGAGCAGTAGAGGAGCTACTTGTGTAAAGAGCTTATAATGACGTCTGTCACCAAGCAGGGTTCGCTACAGTGAGCGAGGATGACCACGTTGCAGGCGAGGAAGGACAACACGGAACAATCCAGTGCGAAGTCACCAGCTCATAAAGAGAGAGCAGGTGCAGGAGCCTGGTCCCAGGCCCCCCACAGGTCATGCTGCTAAGCCACGGCGTCTAAGCAATGTGTCCGCAAAACAGTGGGAACCGTCCCGGCACAGAGCGATTCGTGGGCGTGATCATCAACCCCAGGGTGACCCCGGAGGGAGCGAGCACCTGGCTCAGGATCACACAGCCAGAGGTGGCTGTGGGGGCCAGTGGGGACCCCACTCCTGGGATGGACAGCTTCGTGGTCAGGCCTCCTCATCAAACCCTCCCTTTTTATAAATTTATTTTTTATTGAATGTATTGGGGTGACATTGGTTAATAAAATTATATCGGTGCCAGGTATATGATTCTACGGTATATCACCTATAGAGTGTTCTGTGTGTTTGCCACCCCAAGTCAAGTCTGAACCCCTCCTATCCCTCCAGGAAGTGCACGTTACTGGTCAACAATATCTTCGCGATTACCGCTGCGCTGCTGATGGCCTGCTCGCTCCAGGCAGGAGCCTTTGAAATGCTCATCGTGGGCCGCTTCGTCATGGGCGTGGATGGAGGTGAGGCTCCCGGTGGCCTGGAGGGGCAGTGACAATTCCTGGGGGTGCTGCTAAATCCCGTGAGGACACCAAAGCTCAGAGACGTGGGACAGTAAATGGTTAAGGGCAGGGCTACGGGTTCCGACTGCTGGTTTCTGCCACTTCCCTGGGTTAATTTCATTACCTTGTCTGTATCAGTTAGGCCTTATCTTACTGCATAAAAGTAAAAAATCAGCCCGAGACATAACGGCATAAAGCAAATACCATTTGCTGAGCCTGCAGCTCTGTGGGTAGGCCAGGCGGCTCTGGGCACGCAGCGGTGTTCTGTGTTTGTGGAAGACTGTGTGCTGCCCACTCTCCCAGGGGTGCGAGCCCATGTTGGCTGCGTTAGAAGGTCTCCAGTGGACAACGATGGATGTTTCTAAGTAACCCAATACAAAGCGGCTAAGGGGTTGAACAGGCACCTACACAAAGTGGCCAATAGGTACATAAGATTGCATCAGTAATTAAGGAAATGCAAATTAAAGCCACAATGGCTATAATTGAAAAGTTTGTTAATGCCAAATACTGGTAACTATGTGGAGCAAGGGTAAATTGGTATGAACATGGAGGAAATTGGCTTAACTACTAGCACTGAACATGCACACATTATGACTACAATATATTTAACAACTTACGTACATATGTGTGCAATGAGAGTCTTGTGCAAGAGTGTTCATGGGTTGCTATTAGTATTGACCCCAAACTGGAAAGCACTGAAGTGTCCACCAATAGGAGGGTAGATAAGTTGTGGTATATTTATACATTGGAATACTACACAGCAGTGAAAATGAACAAGTTATAGCTATATGCTACAACATTAATGTATTTCAGTAAAAGAGGTGAGACACATCCTCTCAGTGCACACCACCCTTACCACCATCACCATCACCACCACCACCACCACTACCACCACCACCATCACCATCACCACCACCACCATCACCACCACCACCAAATCATTATCACCATCACTACCACCACCACCGTCACCACCACCACCACCACCATCATCACCATCACCTGCATCAGCACCACCATTTTCACCATCCTAGCTATTTCCTTTTCTGTGGAATCCACCTCCCGGCCGTACCTGTGGACTGAATGACTCCGGGCATGTTACAGCGTTGGCGCTGTGTGCAGAGTGCAGGGCTTGGTGCCGGGTGCGTGCTGTTTTTGTCCTGGTGAAGCAGAGGAAGGGGCCATGACCAGCATCTTCCTCAAGGAAACGGCTCTCTCCATGGCCTGAGGGCTCCTCAGAGGAGACAGCTCCCTCACAAGTGCCCTGTTTCCTCCACAGGCATCGCCCTCAGCGCGCTCCCCATGTACCTGAGCGAGATTTCGCCCAAGGAGATCCGGGGCTCCCTGGGGCAGGTGACCGCCATCTTCATCTGCATTGGGGTGTTCACCGGGCAGCTGCTGGGCCTGCCTGAGCTGCTGGGCAAGGTAAGCGTGGCTCTTGGCCAACTGCGTCTGTTCTCACATCACCATCTCAGCTCCCGGTGCCCCTGGCAGGACAGAGGGGAGCCAGAGGGGAGCCCTCCCCCCAAAGCTTGTCCCTATGCCTAGGAATTCCTGAGCATTCAGCCTTCCACTTATTGTTGGAGAAAGCGATTGCTGAGTACCTCTGATTGGGTTTGGGGGTTTTTAAGGACATAAGGAACATATAACCAACTCTAACCTCACAGCATGTTCAAATCCACCCACGCACCGCTATTGTGAACAGCTCAATTACAATTCATTTAGGCTTTTGCAAACTTTTATGAAATTACATAGTTTTTTTTTAATGGCATCGTGCCACACGCATCGTTCTGCAGCTTGCTTCTCATTTAAGGTGTTTTGGGCATCTTCCCAAGATGCTTTGCTTAGCTCTCCCTCACTCTGGAGTCTTCCTTTCCTATATAAATATGGGATCGCACAGTCTTCTGTTTTTGGCTTTCCGTTTTGGAAGCAGAAAGCCCTGGCTTTGAGTTCCCGTTCAACCATTTCCTTGCTGTGTGGCCTTGGAGGCGCGCCTCACCTAGGTTCAGGTGGGGTCGGGGTGAGATCAAGGAAGGCTTCTCAGAAGAGGTGGCCTCAAAACTGAGCCCTGAAGGGTGAACAGCGGTTAGGCGGGTGATGATGGGGTTTGGAGAGAAGACGTTGCAGAGAAAGGGAATAATTGGAGAAAAGGCCTCGAGGTGGGGAACAGCCCCGTGAAAGAATCGCGAGTGGCTTGGGGCCGAGGGAAGAGCACGCGTGGGGAGCGTGAGATGAGGCCCCTGTTCACGGAGCTGCAGCTGACATTGTGCCGGGGGAATGGGGAGCCCCAGGCGGCACTAGAGCAGGGGAGTGACTCAGCCAGATCTGAGTAGAAGGCGGTTTTGGGTCTGGGAGTGGGACAGGGTGGGAAGGGTGAAAAGAGAAGAGAGGGCCTGGCAGGAGGCTGCTGTGATTGGTGTGTGTGGCAAGGGGGTGCGGGGAACGGAGGCAGTGGCCCTGGGGGTAGAGAGGAGGGGCAATGAGTCCAGGACTTGCCACCTGAGTGTCGGACAAGGACCAGGGAAGGATGCAGCCACTTCCCCTTCCCACTTACACAGAAGGCCAGGAGGGAGGGAGGAGATGAGACCAGGGATGCTGGTCGAATGCACTGGGACAGAGCCCAGCTGATACCCCCTGCCTGGGGCTGAGTCCCGGCAGGCGGGGGCAGGAGGAGAAGGCGGGGAACGTACACTCCAATACGCTTCCAATGAAAGCTCCAGTGCACGCCTCACCCAGGGCTCAAGGTTTGGGGTGCTCAGGGGCATTGTGCCCAGACCCAGCTGTGATCAGGCGCTCCCTAGTGTCCATAGCGGGCGGGAGTCCAAGCCTCATCTGGACCAGTTAGTTCATTCCTGATGTATTCACTCATTTGACACTTACATCAATTGTGTGCCTGGCACTGTTCTAGGCTCCACCCAGCAGAGAACAGCCAGACAGGGATCCCTGCCTCACGCTCCTCGCTTGCATTTCAGTGGAGGACACACATCTGAGACACAAATCTAGGAAGCTGGCTCCTCGAGGGTGTTGTGAGGCAGAACACAGCGGGAAGGAGGGAGGGGGGCAGGGAGCCTGTCCTAGACAGCGTGGCCTTGGAGGGAGGCCTCGGGGCCTAGCACGCTGTGAAGGACCCAGCAGCCCAGGCAGATCCCTGGGGAACGATGTCCTAGCCCTTCCCCGAGACGCCTCCGTCAGTACCCTCACCCACCCCGGCTTCTTCCCACTCCCGGCTGGTCTGGCCCATCTCCCTCCAAGTCTCCGGCTCACGCAGGGCCCCTCTCCCTCCCCTCGATGCCCTTCGATTCAACCCCTCCTTGCCTCACCTCTGGGCCTCAGCAGAGGACTTGCATCCAACAGTCTCTGCCTCCTAGATCCGTATGGTCCCAATCAACTCATTTTGCTCCAATCAACCAACATTTACTGAGCGTCCCCAGTGCACTAGACCCCACAGAGGTGGGTAGACAAAGTCCTTGCCTGCAAGGATCATGCTGCCAGATGGAAGGGACAACGGACATGGTGGCCTTGTAGGAAGCCCGGGGTCCAGGGAGCCCGGAGCAGCCCTGATGCAGCAGGGAGGGCCGGGGAGCCCTTCTGGAGAAGCCGGTGCAGACCTTGAGGGAGACACCATCCCAGGCAGAGCAAAGAGCCAGAGCAAAAACAGTACAAATAAGATGGGGAGAGAGCTCGGCCCGTGGGGAAACTGCAGTGGCGCAGAAAGAGCACCAGGGGGCGGTGACAGAGCAGCCCCTCCCTGCACCTGTCAGCGCAGTCACAGCTGAGACCACCTCCCTACGCCAGTGCCTTTGTGGGGTCACGCCAACCCCCCCACCACACTCCTCAGGGCACCTTGCTGGCTGACGTGGAGTCCGTGGAGTCGAAAGCTGTAGGTCCCTCCCTCCGCCACACCCACCCACTGGCCCCTCTTCTCCCTCCAGGAGAGCACCTGGCCGTACCTGTTTGGAGCCATCGCCATCCCTGCCTTGGTCCAGCTGGTGAGCCTGCCCTTCCTCCCGGAGAGCCCGCGCTACCTGCTGTGTGAGAAGCACGACCAGGCGGCGGCCGAGAAAGGTAGGGCTCGGCCTTGCCCACGCCGCTCCTCCGACGCCTACAGGGTCAGTGCACAGGGCGGGCAAGGACCTGGGCCACCCCTCTCTGCAGGCGTGGTGCTGGGAGCCCTGGGGCACCCTAAGCCATTTCATCTTCCCCACAGCCTGCTCTGGTGGCCCAGGGAGGGGACGTGGCCACATGGGGAGCCTGGAAAAGCCAGGACAGAGCAGGACAGGACCCAGGTCTGCTCACTTCTGTGCCGCGGTGTCTCCATGGGGTGTCCCAACCGCAGAGATGGCGGAACACAGATCTCTTAGTGGTTGGGTCTATGCTGGCTGCCCTCTGTTCCTTGTCTTCTTCGCTGCCCACTTCTCCTGTTGACATTCGCTCGCCAGGAAGGAATGACAGGCAGAATGAGCACCAGCATCACAGCAGCCCGGGCTGGAGCCCCCACGAGGGGGGGGGGCGGGATCCCCTTGCAGGAGAGAAGCACAAGGCGCCCGTGGGCGTGGAGCAATCTCAGGTGGCTCTCCGAAGCCCCTGCGTGGTGACGTGCTGCGTCCAAGGCAAGCTCAGCCTTCGGAATCGGGCATTTCTGCAGAGCCGCCTAAAGGCAATACCATTCTGCCTAGAGAGAGAGACCATGCGGCATGAGCACCAGCATGCGTTTGTTCCGTTTTATAAAACAAGACACAACTGACAGTGTCATGGGTAAGCATGAGGGGCAGGAATAACCAGTACCTCCTGCCATTCCTGGCTCTGCCGTCTGACCTTGAGCAATTATTTTAACCTTTCTGAGCCTCGGAACACTCACCTATCTATCCATCCATCCACCCACCCACCCATCTACCCATCTCTCCATCCATCCATGCCGGGCCTGTTACAGCGTTGGCGCTGTGTGCAGAATGCGGGGCGTGGTGCCGGGTGCGTGCTGTTTTTGTCCTGGTGAAGCAGAGGAAGGGGCCATGACCAGCATCTTCCTCAAGGAAACGGCTCTCTCCATGGCCTGAGGGCTCCTCAGAGGAGACAGCTCCCTCACAAGTGCCCTGTTTCCTCCACAGGCATCGCCCTCAGCGCGCTCCCCATGTACCTGAGCGAGATTTCGCCCAAGGAGATCCGGGGCTCCCTGGGGCAGGTGACCGCCATCTTCATCTGCATTGGGGTGTTCACCGGGCAGCTGCTGGGCCTGCCTGAGCTGCTGGGCAAGGTAAGCGTGGCTCTTGGCCAACTGCGTCTGTTCTCACATCACCATCTCAGCTCCCGGTGCCCCTGGCAGGACAGAGGGGAGCCAGAGGGGAGCCCTCCCCCCAAAGCTTGTCCCTATGCCTAGGAATTCCTGAGCATTCAGCCTTCCACTTATTGTTGGAGAAAGCGATTGCTGAGTACCTCTGATTGGGTTTGGGGGTTTTTAAGGACATAAGGAACATATAACCAACTCTAACCTCACAGCATGTTCAAATCCACCCACGCACCGCTATTGTGAACAGCTCAATTACAATTCATTTAGGCTTTTGCAAACTTTTATGAAATTACATAGTTTTTTTTTAATGGCATCGTGCCACACGCATCGTTCTGCAGCTTGCTTCTCATTTAAGGTGTTTTGGGCATCTTCCCAAGATGCTTTGCTTAGCTCTCCCTCACTCTGGAGTCTTCCTTTCCTATATAAATATGGGATCGCACAGTCTTCTGTTTTTGGCTTTCCGTTTTGGAAGCAGAAAGCCCTGGCTTTGAGTTCCCGTTCAACCATTTCCTTGCTGTGTGGCCTTGGAGGCGCGCCTCACCTAGGTTCAGGTGGGGTCGGGGTGAGATCAAGGAAGGCTTCTCAGAAGAGGTGGCCTCAAAACTGAGCCCTGAAGGGTGAACAGCGGTTAGGCGGGTGATGATGGGGTTTGGAGAGAAGACGTTGCAGAGAAAGGGAATAATTGGAGAAAAGGCCTCGAGGTGGGGAACAGCCCCGTGAAAGAATCGCGAGTGGCTTGGGGCCGAGGGAAGAGCACGCGTGGGGAGCGTGAGATGAGGCCCCTGTTCACGGAGCTGCAGCTGACATTGTGCCGGGGGAATGGGGAGCCCCAGGCGGCACTAGAGCAGGGGAGTGACTCAGCCAGATCTGAGTAGAAGGCGGCTTTGGGTCTGGGAGTGGGACAGGGTGGGAAGGGTGAAAAGAGAAGAGAGGGCCTGGCAGGAGGCTGCTGTGATTGGTGTGTGTGGCAAGGGGGTGCGGGGAACGGAGGCAGTGGCCCTGGGGGTAGAGAGGAGGGGCAATGAGTCCAGGACTTGCCACCTGAGTGTCGGACAAGGACCAGGGAAGGATGCAGCCACTTCCCCTTCCCACTTACACAGAAGGCCAGGAGGGAGGGAGGAGCTGAGACCAGGGATGCTGGTCGAATGCACTGGGACAGAGCCCAGCTGATACCCCCTGCCTGGGGCTGAGTCCCGGCAGGCGGGGGCAGGAGGAGAAGGCGGGGAACGTACACTCCAATACGCTTCCAATGAAAGCTCCAGTGCACGCCTCACCCAGGGCTCAAGGTTTGGGGTGCTCAGGGGCATTGTGCCCAGACCCAGCTGTGATCAGGCGCTCCCTAGTGTCCATAGCGGGCGGGAGTCCAAGCCTCATCTGGACCAGTTAGTTCATTCCTGATGTATTCACTCATTTGACACTTACATCAATTGTGTGCCTGGCACTGTTCTAGGCTCCACCCAGCAGAGAACAGCCAGACAGGGATCCCTGCCTCACGCTCCTCGCTTGCATTTCAGTGGAGGACACACATCTGAGACACAAATCTAGGAAGCTGGCTCCTCGAGGGTGTTGTGAGGCAGAACACAGCGGGAAGGAGGGAGGGGGGCAGGGAGCCTGTCCTAGACAGCGTGGCCTTGGAGGGAGGCCTCGGGGCCTAGCACGCTGTGAAGGACCCAGCAGCCCAGGCAGATCCCTGGGGAACGATGTCCTAGCCCTTCCCCGAGACGCCTCCGTCAGTACCCTCACCCACCCCGGCTTCTTCCCACTCCCGGCTGGTCTGGCCCATCTCCCTCCAAGTCTCCGGCTCATGCAGGGCCCCTCTCCCTCCCCTCGATGCAGCTTCGATTCAACCCCTCCTTGCCTCACCTCTGGGCCTCAGCAGAGGACTTGCATCCAACAGTCTCTGCCTCCTAGATCCGTATGGTCCCAATCAACTCATTTTGCTCCAATCAACCAACATTTACTGAGCGTCCCCAGTGCACTAGACCCCACAGAGGTGGGTAGACAAAGTCCTTGCCTGCAAGGATCGTGCTGCCAGATGGAAGGGACAACGGACGTGCTGGCCATGTAGGAAGCCCGGGGTCCAGGGAGCCCAGAGCAGCCCTGATGCAGCAGGGAGGGCCGGGGAGCCTTTCTGGAGAAGCCGGTGCAGACCTTCAGGGAGACACCATCCCAGGCAGAGCAAAGAGCCAGTGCAAAAACAGTACAAATAAGATGGGGAGAGAGCTCGGCCCGTGGGGAAACTGCAGTGGCGCAGAAAGAGCACCAGGGGGCGGTGACAGAGCAGCCCCTCCCTGCACCTGTCAGCGCAGTCACAGCTGAGACCACCTCCCTACGCCAGTGCCTTTGTGGGGTCACGCCAACCCCCCCACCACACTCCTCAGGGCACCTTGCTGGCTGACGTGGAGTCCGTGGAGTCGAAAGCTGTAGGTCCCTCCCTCCGCCACACCCACCCACTGGCCCCTCTTCTCCCTCCAGGAGAGCACCTGGCCGTACCTGTTTGGAGCCATCGCCATCCCCGCCTTGGTCCAGCTGGTGAGCCTGCCCTTCCTCCCGGAGAGCCCGCGCTACCTGCTGTGTGAGAAGCATGACCAGGCGGCGGCCGAGAAAGGTAAGGCTCGGCCTTGCCCACGCCGCTCCTCCGACGCCTACAGGGTCAGTGCACAGGGCGGGCAGGGACCTGGGCCACCCCTCTCGTCAGGCATGGTGCTGGGGGCCCTGGGGCACCCTAAGCCATTTCATCTTCCCCACAGCCTGCTCTGGTGGCCCAGGGAGGGGACGTGGCCACATGGGGAGCCTGGAAAAGCCAGGACAGAGCAGGACAGGACCCAGGTCTGCTCACTTCTGTGCCGCGGTGTCTCCATGGGGTGTCCCAACCGCAGAGATGGCGGAACACAGATCTCTTAGTGGTTGGGTCTATGCTGGCTGCCCTCTGTTCCTTGTCTTCTTCGCTGCCCACTTCTCCTGTTGACATTCGCTCGCCAGGAAGGAATGACAGGCAGAATGAGCACCAGCATCACAGCAGCCCGGGCTGGAGCCCCCACGAGGGGGGGGGGCGGGATCCCCTTGCAGGAGAGAAGCACAAGGCGCCATGGGCGTGGAGCCATCTCAGGTGGCTCTCCGAAGCCCCTGCGTGGTGACGTGCTGCGTCCAAGGCAAGCTCAGCCTTCGGAATCGGGCATTTCTGCAGAGCCTCCCAAAGGCAACACCATTCTGCCTAGAGAGAGACCATGCGGCATGAGCACCAGCATGCGTTTGTTCCGTTTTATAAAACGAGACACACTGACAGTGTCATGGGTAAGCATGAGGGGCAGGAATAACCAGTACCTCCTGCCATTCCTGGCTCTGCCGTCTGACCTTGAGCAATTATTTTAACCTTTCTGAGCCTCGGAACACTCACCTATCTATCCATCCATCCACCCACCCACCCATCTACCCATCTCTCCATCCATCCACGCTCCCACCCACCCATCTACCCAGCTCTCCATCCATCCACCCATCTATCTATCCATCTATCTGTCTATGCATTTATACATCATCCATCTATACATCCATCTATCCATCCATCCATCCATCTACCCATCTCTCCATCCATCCATCCATCCACTCATCTACCCTGGCCGTCCCTGTTTGGAGCCATCTCTCCATCCATCCATCTATCCATCTATCTATCTATCCATCTATCTATGCATGTATACATTATCCATCTATACATCCATCCATCTACCCATCTCTCCATCCATCCACGCTCCCACCCACCCATCTACCCAGCTCTCCATCCATC